AAGGCATCACAGTTACAAACACTTTCCTTTTTTGAAAAACGGTGAGAATTTAGGGAGGGAGGGGGAGAGTCTTAGGTTTTTCAGGGGGAAACCCCTCCCCTTTAAAACTTGAGGTGTCAAGTCCTTTTTTGGGGTTATTCCCTTTTCTTTTTTTAATGCCACTAGGCCGCCAAATCACTGGACTTCTGTCCACAACAATCTGTCCATATGGCCCCGTACCTCTCATTCCTTTTTTTCCCCAAAATGTTTCACAAAAATGCATGTAATAGTCACCAGCACGGCTTCAATAGCTGTGTTGGGGGATTGTATCAAAAAAGGTTTGCACTTTAAGCACATTCCACACTTTTTTTTAACTTTGAAGTAGGCAACTTTTTCAATTTCTCTTCCCCTCCTCAACCATTTCCTCAGGGCTGGGGCCCTTTGTTGAAGTTGATCAGCACCATCAGTGGTTAGTTCTTCATTGTCCTCCTTCACCAACTCTTCCACATCATCCCCACTAACCTCCAACCCCAAGGACTTTCCCAATGCCACAATGGATTCCTCAACTGGCATAGGATTCCCAGGGTTAGCCTCAAACCTTTCAAAATCCCTTTGGTCTACACATTCTGGCCACAGTTTCTTCCAAGCAGAGTTCAAGGTCCTCTTAGTCACTCCCTCCCAAGCCTTACCTATAAGGTTTACACAATTGAGGATATTAAAGTGATCTCTCCAAAACTCTCTTAGAGTCAGTTGAGTTTCTGAGGTCACTACAAAGCACCTTTCAAACAGAGCTTTTGTGTACAGTTTTTTGAAGTTTGCAATAACCTGCTGGTCCATGGGCTGCAGGAGAGTGGTGGTATTAGGAGGCAAAAACTTCACTTTAATGAAGCTCATGTCCCCATAAAGTCGCTCTGCCACGTCTGTAGGATGACCAGGGGCATTGTCTAACACCAGGAGGCACTTAAGGTCTAATTTCTTTTCAGTTAGGTAATCTTTCACACTGGGGGCAAATGCTTGGTGTAACCAGTCATAGAAAAAAATCCCTAGTGACCCATGCCTTACTGTTTGCCCTCCACAGCACACACAAATTAGCCTTGAGGATATTCTTTTGCCTGAATGCTCTGGGAGTTTCTGAGTGATACACTAATAAAGGCTTCATTTTGCAATCACCACTAGCATTGGAACACATCAACAGAGTAAGCCTGTCTTTCATAGGCTTATGTCCTGGGAGTGCCTTTTCCTCCTGAGTAATGTAGGTCCTGCTTGGCATTTTCTTCCAAAACAGGCCTGTTTCATCACAATTAAACACTTGTTCAGGTTTCAGTCCTTCACTGTCTATGTACTCCTTGAATTCCTGCACATATTTACGCTTCTTAAATCTCTCAAACCACCTTTGCTGGCCTTAAATTCACTCGCATCATCACTAGTTGCAGGCATTTTTTTAATTAAATCTTCATGCAACTTCCTAGCCTTTTCACTTATGATCACTTGAGAGATGCTATCTGTTTTTCATTTATCCATACCAATAAGAGTCTCTCAACATCTTCCATCACTTGCAATCTCTGTTTCGAAAACACAGTTGAACCTTTGGCAAGAACAGCTTCCTTGATTGCCGTTTTGTTGGACACAATAGTAGCGATGGTTGATTGGGGTTTACTATACAACCTGGCCAGCTCGGAGACACGCACTACACTTTCATACTTAGCAATGATCTCTTTCTTCATCTCTATAGTAATTCTCACCCTTATTCCTGTAGGGTTGGCACTAGAAGCTTTCTTGGGCCCATGGTCACTTATTTTGCAGATAAAATCACCAAAAACACTGTAATAATACGAAATGTTCCGATTGTATGCTTGGATGTTACCGCGGAGGCTGGCTGGTAAACAATGCCACCGGCGGAACATGTGAGGCTGGCTCAGGCCGCACATTAGACGCGTCTCGGACGAATAGCGTTGAGCGGGTTTTTTAGCGGTATGCGAGGCAAAATCTTAGCGATAAAATGTATAGGTATGCGGATTTAACGTTATGTGATGCCAACGGTATGCAGGGGTCCACTGTACATGCGGGGGTCCACTGTACCTCTAACTCTCCATTTAATAACTCTCCTCTCCTATTTGTAACTATCAAATTCATTTATTCCCTAGTCTTCCTCAACTTTTTAATCTCAAACGTTTTAATTTTTGAAACAAAATTTGTTGATAACATCTCACCCACTCTCATTTGCTCTTTTTACATTGCTTCACTACTCCCTTAACCTCTTTCTCTTCATTTACTTCTCCCTCCTTGCATCACTTCTGCTTTCTCTCCCTTACTACCTCTTTATGCTAAAATTTCTAAATAAATAAATAAATTCCACCAATTGCTCTTCTTCCTTCCCACATGCACTTTCCTGTAACCACAAACTTCTGCTGAACACACTAAACACATTTGTAAACATATCCCATACATCTTCGACCCCACTGTCTATACTCTCACTAACCCATCTATCCTCCAATAGTTGTTTACATCTTACCTTAACTGCCTCCTTTAGTTTATAAACCTTCATCTCTCTCTTATTTGCTGTTTCTCTGCTGAAAGTGCTTTGTCATTACAGTAACACTGGTCAACAATTTTTGAAAAATTGTATGCTTAAATGAGATTAGTTAATTCTTATGTATTTTCATGTCTTGAATCCAAATTTCACCTTAAAAAATGCTTATTGGCTATAGGTTTAAAGATAAGAGACATGTAATATTTGACTACTTTATTATAACATACAATATGTCAGTATGTTAAATTCTAATCTGTACCTACTCTCTGCTTTTTTGCTTGACACTTATAGTAGGCTGAAGAATCATCTCTTGCCAGTGTCTAGCAATAATCTGCAAGCATTCTTGTGCCCCATTTGCCCTGGTACCATTTTTCCATGGTTGAAATATCTTTATGAAACCTTTCACCTTGTTCGTCACTAACTGCCCCACAGTTCGCTGGAAGAAAGTATAAATGCAAGTCCAAAAAGTGGATTTTAAGTGACATGTTACATCTCATGTTCTTCTAAGCCTTGATGAGGTTTTCCACCAATTCTTCATAGCTACCTTCCCTTCTGTTTCCGAGAAATCTCTTCACCACTAACTCAAGTGCTTCTCAAGCAGCTTTCTCCTCCCCATGAAGGTCTGATTCAAAGTCACTATCTTTAAGAAGCTCTCAATCTGAAGACCGTTGAAAACTCCTTCTCTTATCTTAGCGTTGCTCAGTGAGGGAAATTTTGATGTTAAATACTTGAATCCCTGACTGCATTTGTCCATAGGTTTTACAAAGTTTTTCATGAGCCCCAGTTTTGTGTAGTGGTGGGAGCAAAATTTTGTTTGGTTCAATGAGAGGTGGATGTCGAACATTTTTCAACCTAGGCTCAATGACTGATGAGGTGGCCAGTCTCAGTACAAAAATAAAATTAATATATGCCTCACATGCTGAGCAAAAATATAAACTTGCACAGCACAACCACCTATGACTGCTGGAACAATAATGAAGGGCAGCGAGACCGAGTGTGGTAAGAAAAACACTGTCGCAAGCCTGTTGGAACCTGTTGTTACACGTAGATGCTATATTGCAAAGTAAAGCTAACAAAAAATTTTAACCATGATATTCATTAGCAGTGACCTAAAATTATTTGGAAATTGCTACTCTGGTTTCTGAAGCATTTTGGTTATTGACCAGTGAATTAGTATTTCTATACCAGAAATACTAATTATTATTACTGTGATAAAGCACTTTTAGCAAAGGCAACTTTTAGACGAGTGATGGAGAATGCATTTCCTCCTTCGAGTCACTTACCTTTGTGGGAAAATGACTAACATGGAAAAAAAAAAATATAGTATTTGCCATTACTCAAGGCAATACAAATTATACAATTTTGTTGAACAATGTTATGGTATATTTTATATCTTATCTTCATATATGACACTCCAGACTCACTCTCTCTGATATTCTGTACTCTGAAAATAGTTTTCCTCAGATATGGATAATTTACCAATACATACATCTTAGAAAAAATCTTTATTCTCAATTATGGGTATCTATAGCTTTCCATAGCATTATTAGAATAAAAAAATACAAATGTTTCAGGTACATCTGGAGGGTCTCAAATTTCTTGTGTTAAGGCATTTAAAGGTCAATGTGTGTGTGGAAAATTTGTTGTTTTCTAACGTGTTCCATATGAAAGAAAGCAAATATTCAACAACATAAAGACTCAAAACACTTATTGAGGAAAATAGATACAATACAATAACCTATGTATGTCAGAGTATCTTAATGAAAATAAGATCTCAGGAATTTTGAAATAGTATCTAAATTTACTTGTAACAAAAAAATACTGTACTAATTTGTAACTACGCAATGCACCCTTGTTAATCCCTTGTAGGGCCTAGCTCTTAGGCATTTTTGAGTATCCATATATTCTTGTGCCATTACCCAAGGATATTGGAGACACAAAAAATAACCCAATTTAGGGGCACAATCTATAAATTTAAATTGGGAAGGATGAAAATCTAGGCCTACATGCTATAATTGTTACATAACTATGTACTGATATTCTTCATACACTAAAACTGTTCTGTAAAGGAAAACTATTTAAGCACTGACAGTTAAAAAATGCTCTTAGTAAGCCACCCAGAAGTCAACTTATGAATAAGCCTCACATCAGGCGATTTTCCCTGAAAAAAAATTAACAGTAAACTGGAATGATGAAAATTAAACTATTATCATGCAGGAACCTTACATTATTTAAATTTGTCCACTTTAAAAACTGATAAAATTCCAAAAGACATTAACTGATAATAGTTTGTCATCATTGCAATTACCCAAAAGTAAAAACCTGGTACAGTATACTAAAGGGAAACTGGGCTCCCTTATACAGAGGTTTATCACTGTATCACAGATACAACACAAAATTCACTAAATTTTGCTTAATATTGTGAAATTAAGCTATAAAAAGAAAATACACATCTAAAATGATAAGGAACATAATCATAAAAACACTTAAGATAATTTTCTTATTAATTCAAGTCACTACCTGACATTTTCTGCATTTTTGATAACTGCTTTGGTCCTGAGACTGGAAAACACAGCACAATCAAATAGACTTCCAGAGAGCGCATATGGGTGTGAATTATTGGTGGCATTACTTGCTGCATAAGTCATTCCAATTTCTTTTTCTCCATTTATTGTTATAACCTGCTCAATTTCAGCCCTAGCCATGGTTCCAACGAAAAAAGAAACGCTTCTCGTTGTCTAAAGCACATACACCATACACTGTCCACAAGAGATAAGGTGGCTTTGAAGCCAATGTCAGTCGCCATGAACTCACCTCACTCAGATAAGATGTAACTGGTAAATTTAGGCCTACATATAGAAGGACTACTAGCACAATAGCTATGAGTTTGGTAGATTGGAACAATGGAATGGGCCAAAAATAGGGTGTAAAGTGGGTGAAATCAGCAATGTGTAGATATGGCCGTTGTATATTCTAACCTAACCACTCTGTAAGCCAGCAAAATCACTAATCTGGCACCCTGCAGGTCCCAATGATGCTGGGTTAGTGATGGTCAACCTGTACTGTATTTAAAAAAAAATGGTTGAAAACATTTCTAAAGCTATGGCATGTGAAATTTCTTATTATTCTTGACTTCAAGATTCACGTAGTCTGTAGGAACCTAACCCCCACGAATTTCAGAATTCAATTGTATGCCCCAACTCTCTGGACAACTCTTATTGAACCTCAAAGATTCTTCTTTTGTAATGCACTTACAGGAATTTTCCTTCACTAATAAATATCCCAGCCTGTCAAGGAGTGTTTGGGCATGGCACTCCATGATCACAAAGCCAGTAAGCTAATCAGATCAAATGGCTATCCCATCAGGAATCCATGGTTTAGCAGGATGATCTTGATTAATGGAAGGGAACCAAGTATACGAGGAGCTGACTGTCACATCCACTTTGTAGAAAGAATAAATGGAAGTGCTGATGCATAGTACTATAATATCAAAGACTTGTTTTTATGTTTTTTAATTTACAATACCTACATGTGTTTATTATATTCAAGTATTTACGGAAAAATTAAAAATTTTTTGTTTCAAGTATGTACCTAGGTACGGTGCTCAATGACAATCACACAAGTATCATGTCTTAGCACTGCTTGGCCTTTCCTGTTTTGTGACCATGTAAACAACATTTCCATTGAGTATATTACTTCTTACCTTACATTCATTTAAGTGTTTATTATCTTTTAAGTGCAGAGGGTTTGGTGTTGTGCTTCAGTTCTAACAAGCTGATGAGTGCTGCAGGTCTTAATACCTGTCTAGAATTATCTAATTATAGTTAAAGGGAAGGCATCCCAATATATACTAGGGTTATATCAAATGCCTTGAACATTGAAAAATTTATATACAAAAAAAAAGCTTCATTACCTTAAGAGATTTTCAGACTGATACCCCAGAACCAATTTACAAATCAGAGTTGCCCATCAAACATGTGTTACGTTTTTGTTGCACTCGATCACTGCTGTGGGTTTCTCAATTATTTGATGTGTGTCTCTGGCATATATTTCCTCTTTGCATTCAAGGTGCTATACGTTCTTGTTGTGTTGGTGTGAAGAAAAGCACAAAATTAGAGGGTTGGTCTACTTATTCAGTATAACCATTGTCAATAAAATGTTTTAGTAAATTTTCTCACATGAAACAGATTCTTATCAGGTCTATTGTTTAATCTCTTATTATTTTGCCTTTGTAGACAACTAAGTTTAACAGTCACATAACACTGACAACTTTATAATAAGAAGTTGTCTTTTTAAGAGTATGTATTATTTTAAGACAAGTCTCCCTTTGCTAAGGACCAGACACTCATCAATAACCTATGACCAGTTTGTGGTGCTTTAACCCTTGTAGCCTGGCCTCAGGCCAGACTTCCTTGTAAACCATGCCTAGCTAACCAAAAACATACTTTCTTTCTTTCAACAAATCGGCCATATCCCTCCGAGGCAGGGTGGCCCAAAAAGAAAAACAAAAGTAAAAATAAATACATACAGCATACGTATATACACAGTATACAATAGCCTAAGTTCACCATAACATTAAAATATGAAATCATATTTAGAGCCTTATCAGAATTTGGGGATTGAAAAGGATTCCCACATCTAAGATCAAATAAATCAGACCCAGAAAATTACTGGACTCCTGCTGTGGAAGACCCTTAGGAGTGCTATCCACTATTTATTATAGTTGTCCTGGCACTCAAGACACTTACAACATGGGTGTAACCTAACCAAGTCTCAAGCCTATGACTGAAGCTCACTATGGTGTGAACTAAAAAATGAACTTTATAGTACGTACTTGGAATCTGGAGGGTTCCTCTACCCACATGCCATTGGGGAATTAGGTAAAAGATGGATCAAAGCTGTGGTGATCCTCTGCAGTCCACCCAGAATCAAATAGTTTTCCAGTCCTCATTCTTTTTATTAAATTCACGGGGAAGTGCTAAACCTGCAAAGTCATACAGTGCCATGGAAGGGAAGGGTAGCACCAGTTCTGTAGATCCCTTTACTGGCATCAATGTGGCAGTGGTCAGATAGTGGGTCAATACCCTTCTACTGACATTTAAAATGATTGAGTCTTGGATATTCAAAGGAAACAACTTCCAAATGTGGGCATTATTGCCAGTTGTTCAAAAAACATATGCACCAAGTCTAAATGTAAACCATAAGATATAAATTTGGGAATATAAAGTGTGTCACATGAATGGCTTTATGTATGTACACTGTGTATACAATTAAAATACATACCAAAATGAGTATTTTTGGTACAGTACATGTACAGTCCCAGGACATTGGCACAATTAATACATGTCAATATACATTATGTACTCAGTACATACATAATACTGTATGACAGACCTCGAACCGTAATTTGGAGCTCCTTTCATCATTTTATATCCTTGCTGAGTAACTCAGTCAACTTGGTTCAAGTTAATTATTGTATATAATAATCATGACTGCATTATAAAATAATCTTCACATCAAAACTCACTTTTGCTAATACAGCCATAAATATGAGGGCGATTCTTATTGTATATATGATATGATTGGGAAAAATAAAGACAAAGGGTGGTAGTTCTACTTTCTTCTGAACAAGTGCAAGCTGAAAAAAAAAAAAAAAGTAAAACATCACTCAAAGAGTTTATTCTTCAAACTGAATTTTGAACTTCCTGGATTAGCTTTCAAATACAGTAGAATCCCATTAAGCTAAAAATTCACTATAACAAAACTTTTGCCTGCTGCACAGGCAAAAAGTTTTAGCAATGACGAGTGCACCGCTCTCAGCCCCAAGGAGTTTGTGATAATGGGATTCAAATGTAACATTTTTACCGGAAACAAAGTTTAGGACGTTAGGTGTAGAACACCTAACATATGTTTTTCTCCCCTTCATTACTTCCACCATATAATTCTTTTGCTTCTGCAATAATTCGAATTAGTGCTGAAGAGTCAGGAACAATGCTGCACCTCTTACTGGATCTTTTCCAGATTCCATTACACTTTGGGAGCTGCCACTGACTGTTGTCCTGAAGGTAAAATGGCTCTGCTTCTCTAAGTAGCTGTGCTTCCACTTCCAGCCTTTGCAAATCTTCCGGACTGATGCCTGATTCTTTCATCTCCACTCGTGTTCTGTAAAAATGATACATATAGTCACTAACAAAATAGTTTTACAGGTAACAACTAGTACCCCCCTCCTCTGTACAAGTAATGAAGGCATGCAATATGCAACTGGAAACACAATATGAACACTAGGACATTTTATTGAGAAGGTTTCTTTGTATAAAAAGAGGTTTGCTTGTAAGTAATAGTTATTTTAAGAAAAAGAGGATAAATAAGTACATGAGATATGATTTAGAGAATAAAAACAGTGGTATGTTAGACTATGTATTAGTATATAAAAGATCACTGGGTAGACTTGTGGATATGTATGTTTTTAGAGGGGTATCAGATACATTAGATCATTATTTAGTTGTAGCTACAGTGAGAGTAAGAGGTCTACTACATGGAGTTCAAGGAGAATGTCATCAGTGAGTAAGAGAGAAGTGAAAGTTTATATATTTAAGGAGGAAGCAGATAAGATATAAGCAACCATTGAGAGAAAAATGAGCTAGAGTATATGTAAAATACAATGAATGTTCATATTACCTGGAACTCATCATTTCTTGCATTTCAGTAATGATTGAAGGTATTCGAGTAAAATCCACATCACTAAGTACAGTTATACCTGGATAGGTACTCTGTATCATGGCTACTGAGGGTTTGTGGGACACAGATCGCACCACCTACAACAAACAAAGCTTTTATGAGCTTTCCAATACATTTGCTTTCACACTGAATAAGAATGTCCACTATTACTGGAGGCCCAAGTCAGATGAGGGTAAAGACATTAATGCTATAGACAGTTTTTTTTTTACCACATAAGCCCTCTCCCACCAAGGTAATGACCCCACAAAATAAAACATTTACCATCATTCATTGAATAGCTGTCTAACCAGAAGTGCATGGACATCACAATTCAAATAAGGTTCTGAAGTGTAACATTCCTTCCCATCATGAGTGTAGACACTGTGCTTCCCAGCTTCAACACTCACTGAATCATTAAAATGCTACATTACTCATACTCCCAACAAAACATCAAATCTTCAAACCACTTAAACTCTGACTTCATATATTTCAGCCTTTGTCAAAAATCTCTACCAAAACCTTTAGCTTTTCTTAGATCAAGGCTTAAATATAACTTCTTTCATTCATTCTGAATTATTAACATTTAGTTTTACTAGCAAGGGGCTAGTAACCCCTTCTCCTGTATAAATTACTAAATTTAAAAAGAGAAACTTTTGTTTTTCTTTTTGGGCTACCCTGCCTCGGTGGGATACGGCCGGTTTGTTGAAAGAAAGAAGAAGAGTTTTAATTTTCTGTAAATGCGATCAAAGCAATCACCCATCTTAAAAGGTTTTATACACCATGAGGGTACACTGTATATCTCTCCCGACGTGTACAGTAAGCCCGCTTATGAAGAAACACATCAATGTGATTTTATATATACACCTACCATCAGACTTACGACCTGCTCGACTTACGACCACTCGACTTACGACCGTGTTTTTTATGCCAAATTTCTGGGAAATGAGCAACTATTTGTACTGTACAGTGTTTATCCTAAACCTTACAGTATAAAATACAGTACTAACAACATAAAAAGTAAAGTAAAACATGAAATACTAAAATAAAACAATAAAATAAAGTCATTACAAAAATGTTTTGTTGATATTCAGTAGTAAAGTTCGACTTACGACCATTTTGACTTATGACCGGTTTCTCGGAACCGAACTCGGTCGTAAGTCGGATGGTAGGTGTATATATATATTTTTTTTTCAAAGCGTCGGCCATCTTCCACCTAGGCAGGGTGAAGACCCAAGAAAAGAAAAAAACACTTTTACCATCATTCACATGTAATCACTGTTTTTGCAGATATGCCCTGATATGACAGTTCAGATGTCAGTCCAAACAGCTAATATCCCCAACATCTCCTTTAAAGTGCAGGCATTGTACTTCCCACCTCCAGGATTCAACTCCAGCTAACCAGTTTCCATGAATCCCTTCACACAATATTACCCTGGTCACACTCCAACAGCTCATCAAGTCTCAAAAAAACCATTCGTATCCATTCACTATCTAACACGCGCACATGCCTGCTGTATGTCCAAGCCCCTTGCACACAAACCTCTTTCACCCCCTCCCTCCATCCTTTTCTAGAATGACCCCTACCCCTCGTCCTCCTCCACTACAGATTTATACAACCTCCAAGTCATACTATTTTGCTCCATTCTCTCTAAATGACCAAACCACCTCAACAAACCCTTCTCAGCCATCTGAATAATACTTTTAGTAACTCCACACCTCCTCCTAATTTCCACACAATGAATTCTCTGAATAAAATTTGCACCATATGTTGCCCTCAGACACGACATTATTGCCTCCAGCCTCCTCCTTTCTACGGCATTTGCAACCCATGCTACACACACACACACACACACACACACACACACACACACACACACACACACACACACACACACACACACACACACACACACACACACACAGAGTGCTGGTACCACTATACTCTCACACATACCCTTGTTTGCCTCCATGGGTAATGTACTTTGTCCCCACAGATATCTCAATGCACCATCCACCCTTTTTCCTTCATAAACCCATCTGCTGACAAGTCTAATCTTAAATATGTGAACACATTCACTCCAACCATACTCCCTCCCTCCAATGTGATATCCAGTTTTTTTCTTTACCTAACTTGTTTGATATCCTCATCATCTTACTATGTTCTCTTTCAGCTTTCTTCCTTTACACACCCTCCCATACTCTTCCACCAACCTTTGTAACCTCTCTTTAGCATCTTCCAAAAGCACAGTATCATCAGCAAAAAGTAACTATGTCAATCCCCATTTTGTATCTGATTCCCCATAATTTAATCCCACCCCTCTCCTACACACCCTAACCTGAGTCTCACTATCCTCATAAAAACTTTATAGCATTTAGTAACTTAGTACCTATTCCATATATTTACAACACATACCCTACCCATTTAAAGCCTCCTTGTTCATCTGCGATCATGCTCTCTGTCTTACCTCTAATTCTTTCAATAATAACCCTACCATACATTTTACCTGGTATACTCAGTAAACTTCTTTCAACAAACCGGTCGTATCCCACTGAGGCACGACAGCCCAAAAGGAAAAATGAAAGCTTTTCCTTTTGGTTACTAGGCCCTTGCTAGCAGAAGTAGCAAGACATACCTGCATCTTTGCATGTTTATGAGATCCTACCATTACGTAAAACAGTTACAGGCTTTCGTTTTACACTCACTTGGCAGGATGGTAATACCTTCCTTGGCAGTTGCTGTCTACCAACCTGCTACCAAGAATCTTGCATGTTTACGAGACAAAAAAGACACCAGCAATCCTACCATCACATAAAACAACAATTGCAGGTTTTCGTTTTACACTTGCTTGGCAGGATGGTAGTACAGCAGGGCCTCGCTTTACGGCATTCCACTAATATGGACATTTCAAATTATGACCAAAACTCTCTATACGGCTCCCCCACTTGACTTTTTAATACAGTCACTGTGCCCCACCTGGTTTGTTTACAATCTCTGTGAGCACAGTGTCTCTCCATTATGCTTGGAAATTACAAAATTTCAAGGGTTTTTAAGTTATGTCATGTACGTATTATGTATTTTTTAATTAACACATCAGCCATTTCCCACCAAATCAGACAAAAAAAAAAAAAACTTTGATCATTAACCCTTTCAGGGTCCGTCCCGTAGATCTACGGCTTCACGTTGAGTGTCCAAACCGTAGATCTACGCCAAAATTCTAGCGCCGTCAAATTTAGCGCGAAAACGCTCATAGGCCTACATGTGAGAGAACGGGTCTGCGTGGTGGGTGTGCGCCATAAACAAAAAATCTAGGCGCCCGCATGGCATTGTGGGAACGCCGGCTCAGTTACCCTTGTTCACCATGCCTCGTCGCAAGTCAGCTCTCACTCCCCGGAAAATTGGGACTCTCCTCTTCCTATCTGATAGTTCTGACACTGATGGAAGTGGAAATGAAGACGAATTCTACGGCTTTGATCAGTTAGTGACCGAAAAGAATGACCAGGATATCGATAATAGTGCAGAAAACCCTGACGATCCTCAACCTTCTACCTCTGGTGTGGGCACTCGTGACTCACGGTCGGTTGTTCCTCAATGCAAGAGAAAACTAATATTTTCGCGTGGCCAGGCCACTGACTTCAGTAATGATGATGATAGTGACGTGGATTGTGATTTTATTGCGCTCGACGATCATTCGAGTAGTGATAGTGAGGAATCATATTCACCAGTGAAGCGTCGGTATGTTTGCCGTCGCATGCGCTAGGGTAGTGTACCCTATGCTGTGCCCAGGGGACGGAGTACATCCCGGAGTACATCCCGTGGCCCAACACCAGTTTTAGGTAGTGATAGTGAGGATGATGTGGCTACACTTGGCATGGATAGACCACAGGCATCAGTGGATGGTGTTAGTGGTGATGGTAGTGGCACCGCCATGCGTGACTCACCAGGTCACGCTGGGACCCACGCTGCTGACTCGTCAGTTCAAAGACAAAGCGGAGCGCCAGCCACCAGCCCACCACAACCACAACCACCCACACAACCAGCCCATGATGTGCAGTATCCACCAGAAAACCGTATGTGGGATTGGCAGCAAAATCCCAATTTTGTTCCCAAGCCTCACCACTTTGATGACTCTCAAAGTGGAATTCTACCCACTTGTCCCCTTGGAACCACGGCCAATGAACTGGAATTCTTTGAATTATTCTTTGACCAGCCATTGATGGAAATTATTGTCAGGGAAAGTAATAAGTATTTTGAGTACACCATGGCAAATACGATCTTATCACCACAGTCAAAACTACACAGGTGGAAAGAGACGACTGTTGCAGAAATGTATTTGCTTTTTGCAACAATAATGCTTATGCCTCACGTCTATAAGCATAAATATAAAAGCATACTGGTCCACAGATTGGCTAATTTTCTACCCCGGTCTTCAGTGAAATCATACCAGTGAACAGGTTTATCTTACTCTTACTATGTTGCACTTCTCTGACAAAACCAGGCCTGACAGAAGTGACAGGTTATACAAGATTAGAAATGTTTTCATGTATCTCAAACAAAAGTTCAGCATATACTTTTATCCATTCAAGAATCTTGTAATTGACGAGTCTTTGATTTTGTTCAAAGGTAGACTGCCATTCAAGCAGTATATACCGAGCAAGAGGAAACGCTTTGTATAAAACTGTTTGTACTCTGTGATTGTGACAGTGGCCTGGTGTTGGATATTGTTGTATACACGGTAGTAAAACATTGAAAGATACCAAGATGTTATTGGGTATCTCAGGTGACGTAGTGAGAAACATGATGGCACCTTATCTTGGTAAGGGGCATACATTATATACCGATAACTGGTACACAAGCCCATTACTCAGTGATTTCATGCGAGTGAACAAGACAGACGTGTGTGGCACAGTGCGTTCTAATCGTAAACATATGCCCAGGCTCAACGCAGGTGCTCATGGTGATGACGTGCAGGTGTTTACTGCCAATGACATCATGGCATTACGGTGGCATGACAAACGAGATGTCACATTGTTGACAACCATTCACCGTAATGAAATGCAAGACAGTGGCAAAGTTGATCGAGTGACTAATGAACGTATTCGAAAACCAGTGACAGTGATTGATTATACACAAAACATGCGCTTGGTTGACAAATTACACATGCAGATTGGTTTTGTTGACTGTGTTCGTAAGAGTTACAAGTGGTACATGAAACTTTTCTTCCATCTCATGGACATTTCAATGCTCAATGCATATAATATGTACCAAATAAAGACTGGCAACAGACCACCTTATGGTGAATTTTGTTTGTCTGTTGTCAGACAAATCATAATGAAGTACCAGGTAAGAACACCTGCTATACAACACAACCTCGAATTCCTCAGGATATACCCAAGCGTTTGAGGAGGGAAGGTGATCATTTCATAATACAACTTCCTTCAACTCAGAAGAAATTTGCTCAGAAGAGATGCATCGTCTGTGCACAAACAAAACGACGGCAACAAAGACGCAAAGACACTCGGTTTATGTGTGAGGAATGTAAGGTGCCTCTGTGCATGGTGCCTTGTTTCAAGGAGTTCCACAAGCTCCAGCAGTTCTAAAACCATGTCCAGTGATTGTAAATATGTAAATATATGATAGAAACATTAGTATTATACAAGATTTGGCATGTTTATGTAATAAAACAACAGTGGTAAACAATAATATGATAATAACTTTAGTGCGGTTATTGTGTTCAATACAGTGAGTTTATATATATACATTATATACAGTATTGGTCTCTCAGGCCCCAAATGTTAGTAGGAATAGAAAAAAATTGGAAAAGAAAAGAAAAAACAATAAAAACCGCAAAATAATGTAATGCGCGTATGTGGAATTCGTCGATGTTGCCGCCACCACATCATTTTTGACAAACTTCTTGGCACTGTATCTCGGTAAGTACTGATCAGAATTTTTTTTTTTTGTCTTATTACCTTCACAATTTTTTTTTTTTTTCAATAAGTCGGCCGTCTCCCACCGAGGCAGGGTGACCCAAAAAAGAAAGAAAATCCCCAAAAAGAAAATACTTTCATCATCATTCAACACTTTCACCACACTCGCACATTATCACTGTTTTTTGCAGAGGTGCTCAGAATACAACAGTCTAGAAGCATACACATATAAAGATACACAACATATCCCTCCAAACTGCCAATATGCTCTTTAATTCTGTAAGAAATTTTTTTTTTTTTTTTTCAAAATTTCTTGGACACTGGAGCACCAGTTCAGATTTTGGCCTTGGACCCTGAAGGGGTTAATCAACACTTTCACCATCATTCATACATAATCATTGTCTTTGCAGAGGCACCCAGATACGACAGGTCAGATGTCCCTCCAAACTGCCAATATAACAAACCCCTCCTTTAAAGTGCATGCACTGTACTTCCCATTTCCAGGACTCAAGTCTGGCTAACTGGTTTCCCTGAATCCCTTCACAAAATATTACCCTGCTCACACTCCAACAGCTCATCAGGTCCCAAAAACCATTCGTCTTCATTCACTCCTATCTAACATGCTCATGAATGCTGCTGGAAGTCCAAGCCCCTCACCCACAAAACCTCCTTAACCAACCCCTCCAACCTTTTCAGGGCCAACCCCTACCCTGCCTTCCTTCCTTCCCCTACAGATTTATATGCTCTCCAAGTCATTCTTTGTTCCATTCTCTCTAAATGACCAACCATCTCAACAACATCCCATCAGCGCTCTGATTAATACTTTTAGTAACTCCACACCTCCTCCTAATTTCCACACTGAATTCTCTGCATATTTATACCACACATTGCCCTTAGACAGAACATTTCCACTGCCTGCAGCCACATCCTTGCTGCTGCATTTACAACCCATGCTTCACACCCATACAAGAGTGTTGGTACCACTATACTCTCATACATTCCCTTCTTTGCCTCCATGGATAACGTTTTTTTTTTGTCTCCGCAGATATCACCTTTTTTCCCCTAATCAATTCTATGGTTAACCTCATCCTTCATAAATCCATCTACTGACAAGTCAACTCCCAAACATCTGAAAAAATTTGCTTCTTCCATACTCCCTCTCTCCAATGTGATATCCAATTTTTCTTTATCTAAATTGTTTGATGCCCTCATTACCTTACTCTTATCTATGTTCACTTTCAACTTTCTACCTTTACACACCCTCCCAAACTAATCCACTAACTTTAGAATCCCCCAAAAGCACAGTACTATCAGCAAAAAGTAATAGTGTCAACTCCAATATTGTATTCGATTCCCCATAATTTAATCTCATTCCTCTCCCCAACCCCCTAGCATTTACTTCTTTTACAACCCCATCTATAAATATGTTAAACAACGATGGTGACATTACACATCCCTGTCTATAATTATATTTATAATTATTCCCAGTATAATGAAAGAGGGGGGTGGTTTTAATGCAGCTGGAACCGACGTGATCATTGACAGATAATGATTAAAGCAGGGGTAGATATATGTTGGAAGTGGTGTATATTGTTTAAATAAATGTATGAAAGAGGGGAAGGTACCCAGGGATTAGCAGGAGCATGTATAGTTTTCCCTTTCTATAAAAAGAAGTGTGAGTGGGAGTTCGAGCATGGTAATATTTAGTGAAGAGGGATCAGGGAAACCAGTTTGTTTATATTACCTGGACTATTAGTACTGGAAATGGAAAAGTACAATGCCTGCACTTTAAAGGAGGGGTTTGTGATATTGGCAGTTTGATGATAATGTTTATATAGTCTTTATACTATATGCTTCTAAATTGTTGTAACTGGGCACCTCTGCAAAAACAGTGATTATGTATGAGTGAGGTGAAAGTGTTGAATGATGATGAAAGTATTTTCTTTTTTGGGATTTTCTTTCTTTTTGGGTCACCCTGCCTTGGTGAGAGATGGCAGACTTGTTCAAAAAAAAAAAAAAAAAAAAAAAAAAAATTCAATAAGGAGGCACATTCAATATCGCACATTACTTTAATATAAACATTTTCATTAACCCATCTATGATATTTTTCAAAATTATATGATAAACATGCTACGTAACATATAAACACGATAAATACACCACAGTAGGATAAATTAACAAATATGAGATATTAGGTGTAGATGAACGTGTATGAACCAAAACCAGAGGCGTTCATCTGCTTCTTTGCATCCTCTGCGTGTCTCTAATCTCTCATTTACTCATTCTCTCTCTCTCATTTTAACTCGTTTACTCACATCTCACCCTAAATTAAGACTACAAATATTTTAAGGTAAGTAATGGGTGTACTGTATATGCATTTTATCACTCTGTTGCGCTCTAAATTTCGTAGTATATTACGTGTGGGTGGGCTGGCCTGGCTGGTTACCATACCGCCCCCACCTGACTTCCTACAAATAAATACTACTCGCCTCTCACTCTACATTAAGACCACAAATATTTTAAGGTAAGTAACGAGTGTACTGTACGTGTATTTTACTTTTTACTGTTTTTAATGCCTAGTTCTACTGCTAACTTAATATGTTAGTGTAAACTTGTTATCTGGCATTTATATGCATTTATAAGTGGAAAAAAATGGTGTTCTGCTCTCTGGGGGTAGCCTGGACTCTAATCTGCCATATAAGTGGGGCACTATACCTCCCTGGGTGGTTGCTGTCTACCAACCTACTATTTAGGATAGTGGAAATGTTAAAATATTTGTCTGTGTATTGTAACATCTACAGAATTAAGTACAACTGTCTGCCACATCTAAAATTACTTGCCAAAACTGAAGAAATTTTTTTTTTTTTTACCTTTGGTGGCCGTATATCATGTTGAAGACATCCTGCTGGAGTGATGGTAACCTGAGTATTGGTTGTAGAGGTGACTAAGCAGATGTCTACTGGGCCACCTTCACTGCCCTCCTGAAATTAAGTTAAATGACATTAAACAATGGAAGAAAGCTAACTCTACTACTCCGTATAACTTGCTATTTATTTAATTAGGGAGGCATGAAGTCCAGTGGTTGCACTCTGAGGGATGGGTAAGTAAGCTGAATTTTGGATGATGACAAATTCTGTCTTGTGTGCACTTTTGGCTAGGCACCTACTGAATGAATGATGGTGACTGTTTCCTTCTCTGGGTCATTCTACCTTGGTGAGAGAAAGGGTTGTGCTCTAGCACCAGCATGTTTAAATTGTGCACTACAGGTTATGGTAGGTATATTACAATGCAGGTGATTTTCTCTTGAGGATGTGCAAAGAACAGTGATTAACTGTTAAAATTGTCCTTTATCTCTGATACATATATCACAATGATTTGAAAAGCTTTATTATGAATCCCAATACCCAAACATTGGCTAGTAATAAAATTACTAAAGTTAAAATAATTGATTCTCTATACACCAATTATCTGTTACAAAATTACCTCTATGAAGGTTCATACAATCAAACAACATGGGCTTAATGAATTAAGAACATCAAAGCTGCTAACCTCTTCACCTGCTTTCCTCTTGTCACTGCCCTTTCGTAAATGATGCATTAAGCAACTCAAATCTATTTGAGAATTGTTTGCCATTGAATTTCTCGGCGTTAATAATTTGCTGCTTGTGCACGGGGAGAAAGTAAGTGGGTCCAAGTCATCAGCTCCTGGTTCCTCTTTATCACTTGCTTCTATCTCCAAATCTGCCTGGGTTGAGGATGGTGGATCATCAAAGGCTAGGAGTCAGTGGTTTTTTTCACTGATGCCCCAAAAATATAGTACAAAAATATATTTTAAAATTAAATTCCAGATACCACCTGTACAGTACACAATAAGATATATGAATGCCTATTATTTGAATCCACTTATTCTTTGGATTTAGCCAAAAATATCCTATTTAGAATATTCACCTAGTAAATGCATTCAGAACTTCCAGTCAGAAGACAAATGGTATCCTATAAGAGAAACTATGACTGTACCTACTAAAAATTGCCATTAACATATTGAAGATTGCTGAAGTTATGTGCATTAAATTGTGACATCTCATTCAGAATACAGGTAGTAGGTTGGTAGACAGCAACCACCCAGGGAGGTACTACCAACCTGCCAAGCGAGTGTAAAACGAAAGCCTGTAATTGTTTTACATGATGGTAGGATTGCTGGTGTCCATTTTTCTGTCTCATAAACATGCAAGGTTTCAGGTATGTCTTACTACTTCTACTTACACTTAGGTCACACTACACATACATGTACAAGCATATATATACACACCCCTCTTGGTTTTCTTCTATTTTCTTACTAGTTCATGTTCTTGTTTATTTTATCTTATCTCCATGGGAAAGTGGAACAGAATTCTTCCTCTGTAAGCTATGCGTGTTGTAAGAGGCGACTAAAATGCCAGGAGAAAGGGGGTAGTAACCCCTTCTCCTGTATAAATTACTAAATTTAAAAAGAGAAATTTTTGTTTTTCTTTTTGGGCCACCCTGCCTCAGTGGGATACTGCTGGTTTGTTGAAAGAAAGATCTCATTCAAAAGATGCTGCTGGAAAGCATTTCATCAAATGCAAGTACTGGTCTTATAATGGTCATCCTAGATTGTTACATTTATCGAATGTTCTCATCTAGTTGGGTTTACAGAGAGCGAGTCAAGTCCTAACCCTCAACTGTCAATGGCAAGCCTTTCCAATTCTTAGTCTTCATTGTAGTAATATACCTACTCTTTAAACTGTATATGGTGTTTGCCTGCATCTCTTCACAAGTTCATTTCAATTACTACCCTCAATACTCAAGGAGGATTGTAGGCATTAGAATTTGCATTGCCTCAGCCTCTGCTAAATTTTTTCATACAGGAAGTACTGATTATAGTTTATTATTTTGTATTTCTTGTGAACCCTTCTATTATGCACTCAAGTCTGTTGTTGAACTGTGCCAAGTCCCACGGTCTTCTGATACCATGCTGTTTACTTCACATATTGTTTAATCGGTTAGTTTTATTTCTTATAAAAAGTGGAAAGGAAGATAAGGTGGGAGACGGCCGACTTGTTGGAAAAAAAAAAAAAAAAAAAAAAAAAAAATATTAATAACAATATTTTATAACTGAACTTGCTCCCACCTACTACAAATGACAATAAAATATCACCATAAACAATGACACTGAGATATCCTGTCTTAAAGCTGCAGGTTAACAGAACAGTATCCTTGAATTTACAAAAAAATATAAATAAATTATTAATGGCTAATGAGTTTGTAGAAGACAATACTGCATTCTATTATACATTTAATGTACTGTTTCTTTTACTCGGACACAATTACTGGAAATATTACCAGATCCTAAAGGCTTTTGACTATGCCCATGTCCCGAGTTATATACCCGAGGACAACTGGTGGCAGGCATATACAACAGACGACTAATGGCAGGTTGATATGAAAGACAATAAAGTGAGATACAATATAGCAGTTGTAGTAAGGGTTTACTAAACTACATCACAGAAAGTTAATGTGGAGATTTATGTCCAGAATATGATGGAATAAGGAGTATATTCCTAGGTAGAAGGTTGGTAGACAGCAACCGCCCAGGGAGGTGCTACCGTCCTGCCAAGTGAGTGTAAAATGGAAGCCTGTAATTGTTTTACATGATGGTAGGACTGCTTGTGTCTTTTTTCTGTCTCAAAAACTTGCAAGATTTCAGGTACATGTACTTCTTACTACTGCTCCTTACACTGAGGTCACACTATACATACACGTACAAGTATATATGCACATACCCCTCTGGGTTTTTGTCTATCTTACTAGTTCTTGTTCATTTCCTCTTATCTCGATGGGGAAGTGGAACAGAATTCTTCCTCCCCAAGCCATGCGTGTCATAAGAGGTGACTAAAATGCCAGGAGCAAGGGGCTAGTAACCCCTTCTCCCGTATAAATTACTAAATTTAAAAAGAGAAACTTTCATTTTTCTTTTTGGGCCACCCCGCCTCAGTGGGATACGGCCGGTGTGTTGAAACAAAGTATATTATTATATTCACCAGCAGCACTAATCATTTAAGTCATATAGTGCCTAGGGAATGGGAGGTAACTGAGTTTGCTCCAAATTGGATGAAGAACCCTTTACCAACATTAAGACATCTGTCAAGGGAGCTAAGGAGTACAGAACAGAATTAAAGATCATATGTAGATAGGGTTGCCTGAAGCTTTGTTGTAGTGGCCAGTCCTTGGAGTGAGGCTCTGGGATAAACAAGGCATACACTTGGTACACAGCAAACCCTTACTATAGATGAAATTTTGCTTTGGGCAGATCAATATCAACCACCACCCAGAGTGAAACATCACCTATAATAAAAGTTTGCTTTGCACCACATGTCTTGCTATTATACTTGTTCACAGTACCTTCCATCCAAACAGCCTGACTTATCAGGCCTGATCTTAGACAGCCATGGGAGGCAGTGACTCCTAAATCATTAAGTAGTGATTAGATGGTTTTGGTCATTTAAGCGTGTACTAATACAGAAAAAAAAGGGTACAGGTGTCATCTGATAGGCTGCTCCATATTTCCAATTCTAAAATACACTTTTAATAACAACTTTTACATTTATCTTTCAGCTTTTTATTTTATCTATCTCCTCTCACTTGTATGTATATGTTGGAAGTAATCTCAAATTCTTCTTAAACTTTGTTTCCCAGTGAACATTGCTCTTCTCTTGTATAAAACCAAACCAGTATGCAGAATTCTTTACCAAAGGCTTCAGGTACTCCTTCAAGCTTACATGAAGATATCCTAAATGTCTTGGGAAGATTCTACACTTGACCACTCTCTCAAGGATGGAGTTGCCAGAGATAGGACAACATCCAAGACTGATAAATACAGAATATAAAACAAGCAAGAAATCATACCTTCGACCTAAAATTTAATAAAAATTCCAACTCTCTGTCTTGTTCACGGTTCACTGCTTCAAAGTGATCCAAATATGTCAACAATTGCACATCTGTAAATTCAGTCAAATCTCGACGGTTACCTGGAGAGTGATCTAGAAGGTCGTAGCTGCTTTGCAATTTCTCCAGATATTGCTTCACCTGTGGAAAAAAAAAGTAACTAAATATATTGTGCTTTATGATTTTTTTGTTTAACACATCGGCTGTTTCCCACCTAGGCAGGGTGACCCCAAAAAAAAAAAGAAAAACCCAAAAAGAAAAACCCAAAAAAGAAAGAAAAAACTTTCATCATTCAACACTTTCACCATCATTCATACATAATCACTGTCTTTGCAGAGGCACTCAGATATGACAGTTTAGATGTCCCTCCAAACTGCCAATATCCCAAACTCCTCCTTTAAAGTGCAGGCGCTGTACTTCCCACCTTCAGGAATCAAGTCCAGCAAACCAGTTTCCCCGAATCCCTTCACAAAATATTACCCTGCGCACACTCCGACAGTTCGTCAGGTCCCAAAAACCACTCGTTTCTATTCACTCCTAACATGCTCATGAACGCTTGCTGGAAGCCCAAGCCCCTCACCCACAAAACCTTCTTTACCCCCTCCTTCCAACCTTTCCTAGGACGACCCCTACCCCATCTTCATTCTTCTACAGATTAATATACTCTCTAAGTCATTCTACTTTGCTTCATCCTTTCTAAATGACCAAACCACCTCAACAATCCCTCTTCAGCCCTCTGACTAATACTTTTAGTAACTCCACACCTCCTCCTAATTTCCACACCATGAATTCTCTGCATAATATTTACACCACACATTGCCCTTAGACAAGACATCTCCACTGCTTCCAGCCTCCTTGCTGCAGCATTTACAACCCATGCTTCACATCCATATAAGAATGTTGGTACCACTATACCGCATTTACAACCCATGCTTCACATCCATTAAGAATGTTGGTACCACTATACCCTTTGCCTCCATAGACAACGTTTTTTGTCACCACGGATACTTCACGGCACCACTCGCCTTTTTTCCTTCATCAATTCTATGGTTAACCTCATCCTTCATAAACCCATCTGCTGACAAGTCAACTCCCAAATATTTGAACACATTCACTTCTTCTACACTCCCTCCCTCCAATGTGATATCCAGTTTTTCTTTATCTAAATCATTTGATACTGTCATTACCTTACTCTTATCTATGCTCACTTTCAACTGTCTACCTTTACATACCCTCCCAAACTTGTCCACTAATCTTTGCAATTTTTCTATAGAATCTCCCAAAAAAGCACAGTATCATCAGCAAAAGGTAACTATGTCAACTCCCATTTTGTATTTGATTCCCCATAATTTAATCCCACCCCTCTTCCCAACACCCTAGCATTTACTTCCTTCACAACCCCATGTATAAATATGTTAAACAACCATGGTGACATTACACATCACTGTTTAAGGCCTACTTTTACTGGGAAGTAATCTCCCTCTATCCTATACACCCTAATCTGAGCCTCACTATCCTCATAAAAACTCTTTACAGCATTTAGTAACTTTACTACCTATTCTATACACTTGCAACATCTGTCCCATTGCTCAAATATCCACTATCATTTATTCACAGATTCTGAACCTAAGGATCATAAACTATCAATACAGTAAATGGGGAGATGGGGAAGGGGTGGAAGGGAAGATAAAGCTTAAAATAGGTTATGATGACCAATGTGGTGATGGTGCCAATATATGAATGAAATATAAGTTTACACACTTACACAAGGAGCAGATCCCCATGCTTCAACTCCTAGTTTGAGGTATGTCTGCATGGCACTGCTGTGTAGTGTTTCACTGAAGCTCGTATTTTGATTCTAGAAGTAAAAATACTCCAATTATGTTTATAAGAAAAATGCATTAAAAACACAATTTTTCCATGCAAAATATATGCTGAAGAGAGAAGGTTCATGGTTAACAAGCCGACTCACAAAATCGTAATGACAGAAATGTCAGTCTGGAGTTTTATGACTAACTGTGGGCTCAAGCCCCGTCTGTGGTATGGTTTGACAAGCTGGTTAAAACAGATGCAAATGTGGAACAAATTTTGTATTGAGATGACATTTTGCCTGAGTAACACTTTTCAGTTCAATACACAATTCTGAGCAAAAAACACATTTGTGCAAGCTTAATTAAGTCAGTGAAAGCAGGAACAGTCAGTGAGTGGCCAGGAAGCACTGCAGGAGGCCTACTTTCAGCTCCTTGATTCTGCTAAATATTTTGTGTACAGATTAGAGTGCATTCCAGGCATGTGTATCATGTTCAGTCCCTTTCCTAGAACACTAGTCAAGCATTTTTCCAGGACATTAGGTGTGTGATTCTGAACACCAACCCTCTCTAGAAGTTACAAAGGAGTAACAACTATAACACCAAGCACCAATGAAGACCCTGTAATACACAAATCCAACTCCTTGGACCATGGAAATGAAGAGGCTAAACACTATACTATACAGGAACTGTAGCAAGTATTATACAGGCAAGACTTCTTGCAACCAGGATACAGGAACATCAGTACTCAAATAGAATTTAAAACACAAGCAATGCTTCAGTTTAAACAGGGATAAGGCCCAAAGTGTGCTGACATGACAATAAAAGTTACCCTTTACTCTGACATTTCCCCTCCCTCTTAGATAACCTCACTCTCAGGATAAAATATCTTAACTGCTTTTAGTAAACTACCGTATATTCCATACATTTTCCTCCTCACTCCTAATGATGTTATCCCTCTCTGCCCAATGTGTGAAATCACCACCTCTCCACAAAAATATCCTCTCCATCTTTCCAGCACCTCCACCTCTTCATCTAGCATCCCCTGCCTTCATTTTTAATTGCTAAGTCCATTTGTTAAGTAAAAGAACAAGTGCAACTAATGTGACATTTTATTGTCACAATAAAATGTCGTATCAGTTGTAGTTGTGTCCTTTTACTTAACATATTGTCAGTAATTCTCCTAACATTAATATAGGTCCATTTGTTTACCAGGCTTCTTCACCTTATTAATCTCAAAAAAACAGTTTCAAATGCTAAGAAAAATTTTTTTGGTAAACGGGGCCCATTTCTCTTTGTTTCCTTTTGCACTCCCTCAAATTTTTTTAATTTCCCCGCTTGCCCCCATAAACTCAGCTGGTTTCTTTTTTATATTGGTAATAAATAAAGCCTTTAAAACTTTTGTACCACATATACTTCCTGAATGGATGCCTGGTAATATAAACACTTAAATAATATTCCGGCCAAACCCTTCGCAAAGGGGACACAAGAACAGCAAAGGAAAATTTGAAAATTGTTTCTCTGTGAGCAACGAAGATACAATGACGTACAGAAAACTCATCTTTAGAATCAAAAACGACCGCAGACTACATGACCTGAAAGTTTTTCACTACAATAATTGAGATAACTACTAAAAAGAATTATTTAAAATAAAAAAATAAAAATAATAATAAAATTTAAAAAAAACATTTGTAAGGGCAGAGAGGGGGTTTTTGAGGTGGGTTTTGGTCATTTAGAGGAAGGGTCAAAGGGAAAGACATGGGAAAACTATAAATTTTGGGAAAAAAAAGAGGGGGGGGTCATCCTCGAAAAAGGGGGGGAAAAAGGGGGTAAAGGAGGTTTGTGGCGAGGGGGTTGGACTTCCGCAAGCGTGCATGAGCTGTTTGATAGGAGTTTAAAGGGGACGAATGAACTTTGGACCCGACAATCTGTTGGAGTGTGAGCAGGGTAATATTTAGGAAGGGGTTCAGGGAAAACCTTATTTTCAATATCGGACTTGAGGGCCTGGAAATGGGAAGACAAAAACCTGCACTTTTTAAAAGGGGGGGTTTGGGGTTTGGGAGTTTGGGGGGGATAGTTGTGTATCTTTATACGTATATGCTTCTAAACTGTTGTATTCTGAGCACCTCTGCAAAAGCAGTGATAATGTGTGAGTGTGGTGAAAGTGTTGAATGATGAAAGTATTTTCTTTTTGGGGATTTTCTTTCTTTTTTGGGTCACCCTGCCTCGGTGGGAGACGACCGACTTGTTGAAAAAAAAAAAAAAAAAAAAAAAAAATTTTTTTAAATATGAATTATAGATATCTGCAAAAGGTACTAGGAACAAAACTAACACTTTTCACACCAATTACATACATGATGCCAAATGTTTAAATGTTAACTAACACTGATTCATTTACAAATCTGTACTAGTAATTCTTTCCACATTTTGTATTGCAACCAGATGACATCAATATCAGAAGATAAACTGTATCTTTCATACTCTGACAAGATAAACTGGAAGCTCTTTGTGACTTGTGTGTAACAGCAAACAATGTGGTCAGATAATTTGATTTTTAGTGTAGGAGTGTATCACTATACTGAAGAAGAATATGATGCACTGGTTTAAGAGCAAATAGTTTAGCTCAAAGTGCAAAGCCATTCATGTGTTGCAGTGTCTGACAAGTTGAACATCAAAATGGTATACAATACCAACAGGTTGTTAGGTAAGACACACATGCAACAGTTAGACAACTTTATTCCGAAACGTTTCGCCTACACAGTAGGCTTCTTCAGTCGAATACAGAAAGTAGGCAGGAACAGTAGAGATGTGAAGACGATGTAATCAGTCCATCACCCTTGAAGTCGTAGAATTTGAGGTTGTCAGTCCCTCAGCCTGGAGAAGTTCAGTTCCATAGTCAGGAACTATCTGAAGATCAAGCGACAGTGTGGAGACTTAAATACTGTCGGAAGGAGAGGTGCAGAGTAGTAGTAGTAGTAGTAGTAGTAGTGAGAATGTAGCCACTGAGAGGTCATGTCCTTCTCAGATCCAACACTTCTCACTTGAAAAACTTGTCCAAGATGCCAAGTTTTTCAAGTGAGAAGTGTTGGATCTGAGAAGGACATGACCTCTCAGTGGCTACATTCTCACTACTACTACTACTACTCTGCACCTCTCCTTCCGACAGTATTTAAGTCTCCGCACTGTCGCTTGATCTTCAGATAGTTCCTGACTATGGAACTGAACTTCTCCAGGCTGAGGGACTGACAACCTCAAATTCTACGACTTCAAGGGTGATGGACTGATTACATCGTCTTCACATCTCTACTGTTCCTGCCTACATTCTGTATTCGACTGAAGAAGCCTACTGTGTAGGCGAAACGTTTCGGAATAAAGTTGTCTAACTGTTGCATGTGTGTCTTACCTAACAACCTGTCGGTATTGTATACCATTTTGATGTTCAAAGCCATTCGTAAATATTTGTTGATAAATTTACCAAATATTTCATAAGTAAAGTCATGTTGCATTGAGACGTAAATATCTAACTTCTAATCACTTTAATTTATAGGATTTGAGAACTGGAGGTGGGAAGTACAATGCCTGCACTTTAAAAGAGGGGTTTGGGATAGCTGCTGTTTGGATGGACATCTGAACTGTCAGATCTGCATGCATCTACAAAGAGAGTGATTATGTGTTATTTTTTATTATCTTATTATCACACTGGCCGATTCCCACCAAGGCAGGGTGGCCCGAAAAAGAAAAACTTTCACCATCATTCACTCCATTACTGTCTTGCCAGAAGGGTGCTTTACACTTCAGTTTTTAAACTGCAACATTAACACCCCTCCTTCAGAGTGCAGGCACTGTACTTCCCATCTCCAGGACTCAAGTCCGGCCTGCCGGTTTCCCTGAACCCCTTCATAAATGTTACTTTGCTCACACTCCAACAGCACGTCAAGTATTAAAAAGCATTCGTCTCCATTCACTCCTATCAAACACGCTCACGCCACGCCTGCTGGAAGTCCAAGCCCCTCGCACACAAAACCTCCTTTACCCCCTCCCTCCAACCTTTCCTAGGCCGACCCCTACCCCGCCTTCCTTCCACTACAGACTGATACACTCTTGAAGTCATTCTGTTTCGCTCCATTCTCTCTACATGTCCGAACCACCTCAACAACCCTTCCTCAGCCCTCTGGACAACAGTTTCGGTAATCCCGCACCTCCTCCTAACTTCCAAACTACAATTCTCTGCATTATATTCACACCACACATTGCCCTCAGACATGACATCTCCACTGCCTCCAGCCTTCTCCTCGCTGCAACATTCATCACCCATGCTTCACACCCATATAAGAGTGTTGGTAAAACTATACTCTCATACATTCCCCTCTTTGCCTCCAAGGACAAAGTTCTTTGTCTCCACAGACTCCTAAGTGCACCACTCACCCTTTTCCCCTCATCAATTCTATGATTCACCTCATCCTTCATAGACCCATCCGCTGACACGTCCACTCCCAAATATCTGAATACATTCACCTCCTCCATATGTGTTAATGATGGTGAAAGTGTTTCATTCTTTTTTGGGTCACCCTGCTTTGGTGGGAGGCAGCCAGCATGTTGAGTTAAAAGAAAAAAAAAATCATCATTCATTCATTCACTCTGCTTTTGCTAGATGAATGCTGACATCACAGTTCAGATGGTCCATTGAATTACAACCTCACCACCCCTCCTTCAGAGTACAGGTGTATGTCCTTCCCACCTCCCAGATCCAAGTCTAGCTAACCAGCTTTCCTAATTCTCTTCATTAATGTTACCTTGTTCATATTCCAACAGAACATGAAGCCACATAAAATTATCATTATAATCGTAACTAAGTGCTAAACCCATAAGGAAGCCATACAAAAACCACTTGCTTCCACTCACTCTGATCTAACATGCACAAACAAGATTTTGGATGTTTAAACCCATAGCACTCAAAACCTCCTTTACCCCTTTCCTATAACCTTTCCTGGGATGACCCCTATCCCTCTTTCCTTCCACCTGAAAATTTATATGCCCTCCTAGTCATCCTATTTTGCACCACCCTCAATGTTCAATCCACTTCAACAACCCCTCCTAAGCCCTCTGAATTATACTTTTAGTAACCCCACAACTTCTAATTTCCAAACTCCAAATTCTCTGAATAATACAGTGGAACCTCGGCACTTGAACTTAATTTGTTCCAGATGGCTGTTCAAGTGCCGATCTGTCCGAGTACCAAACAAACTTTTCCCAGTCAATTTTCTTTTTGGTTGGCTGTTATCACTAACCCTCTTAGGCCCCATGGTGACAGACATAAAAGACAACAAAAAATGCAAGGAAACACGAAATAGTTTACAGTGAAGTTCTGGCAGGTCATGTTTATTTGGTCCAGTGCCAAGCAAACAGTCAACTACCGAGCCATTTCTTTACTGAACAAAGTGTTCAAATACCGAATTGTTTGAGTAAGGAGATGTTCGAGTACCGAGATTTCACTGCATTCACGCTACACATTGCCCTCAACCATTATATCTTCACTGCCTCTAACCTCTTCCTCAATGCAACATTTAAAACCCATTCTTCACACCCATACAAAATGCTTGTACTCCTATACCCCAGCACATTTCCCTTTTTTCATTCATGGATAAATTTATGTCTCCACAGATGCCTCATTGCACCACCTACCTTTTTGTTTTTCTTTCCTTTTGCCTCATCAACTGAGTGGTTCTCCTAATGTTTCATTGACCCATCTGCTTACAAGTCCACTCCCAAATATATTAGCATATTTACATCCTCCATACTGTCCCTATAAACTGATTTCCACTCTTTCATTGCCTAGACTTTTTTGCTACTCTCAATCACTTTTCTCTTTCCTATGTTCACTTTTAATTCCTACTTTGACATAACCTTGCAAAATATTCAAGATAATATACAAAGGATTGCAAGATTATGACAACTGGTGAAGTAGAGTGGACCCTCGACTAATGATCAGCTCCCAACTCGACCAGTTATGTAAGTGTATTTTTGCAAGTGCTTTTGTACGTGAATTTTTTGGGGTCTGAAACGGACTAATCTATTTCACAATATTCCTTATGGGAACAAATTCGGTCGGTAACGGCACCCGAACAGACGTCTGAAATGAAATAATATCGTTAGTCGAGGGTCCACTGTATTTGGAAGAGGTAACTACAGTCCTTACTTACAAATGACTAAAAATCTATAGCTATAAACTTGCAAATCTGAGTAGTATATACATTAGCAATGTTATTATCCACAAAGAAAATCCTCCACATACTCATGAGAAAAGATTTTTTTTTTTTAAACAAGATGGCCGTCTCCCACCGAGACGGTGTTGTTAATGAAGGTAATACAGCAGGTAGATGATGCAGTGATTTATGGACAAAATAATATATAAATTGAAAATGTCAAAGTGATCACAATGAAGATTAAATTTTTTTTCATCATTTTAAGTACAATAAAATAGAGTCAACTCATGAGTTAAACCTTAATGCTATAAAAATGACTGGGTTGGAATATTTAACAAAGACTAATATATGATAAATTTAAACTTGCAGTGTGCACATTTTCCACTATAAAAATATTACCTTTGCATTGTATCTTCCTTAGGGGTTATTTCCTCCGCATTGGGTGAAGAGTTGTGATAAGAATATAGGTGAACAATGAGGGTATTCTTCTGGCAATAACTCCGGCCACAGTGCGTGCACACGTATGAGCGAGACTTTAAGTGGGAATATAAGTGACGTTTAAATTCACTGTACACAACGAAGCGACGATCACATATTTCACACAAAAATGGACGATATCGTGTTTGTTGTGGCCGATGTGGATCTAGTTTAGAAGTGTATATGCCACGCCTGTAGGGTTTAAAAGCATTCTAGAAAATCAATAATAAAAAAGTTACATCAGATCAAATATTCCATATGCAGTCATATGATTAGTATGAATTTCAATTTAGTGTGGAATTAATGCTAGTTCCCCCTTTCCCCCAAACTCTTTAAATAGTGTGCAAAAATTACACAATTCAAATAGTGCAAATTCAAGTAATGTGACTACTTCACGAGAATCAATTTTTCTTTTAACACGTCGGCTGTTTCCCACTGCACTACTCTTATTCACTGTTTAATGAACTGCCTTTATAAAAAACTCTCTCCTCAAGTATGGTCATGAATCAACAAAATCATTACATTACCCATAATATGTAAAAAAAATATTATTAAATATTATACATACTAATTTCTACACACCCTTTTACAACTGTACTTAAAAAAAAAAAAAAAATCATGCAGTTAATAAGTAGTGTACAAGTTAAATCCCATCCAAAAATATAATCATTTTCTTCCCCAAGATCATCCATTAGTATTACAACAGTAGGCTAATAGTAAATGATAAACAGTACAAGGTTTTGTTGGCCTCTACATCATCTTATGCCAGCATCAATAGCATTCATCTAATCACAGTATATAAAAATTATTGTGCACATACTCCAATTGTATATCTTTGCATAACAATGGAACATGAGTCTGAAATGGTTTATATTATTATTAGTTACACAATCATGCAAGAATTCATTAGAATAAGAGATGGAACATATTCACAGAGAAGTGCTAAACCCTTACAGGCCACACAGGGCCAGGTGAATGGGAGGAAATCAGGGAAGGCAGCTTCAATTTTTCGGATCAAGGCATCCCTATTCTTCTGAAAGTAAACTGAACATTTTTTTTTTTTTTTTTTTAACAAACCGGCCATATACTAGCCCCTTGCTCCCGGTATTTTAGTTGCCTCTTACAACACGCACAGCTTATGGAGGTAGAATTGTGTTCCACTTCCCCATGGAGTTAACTTAACATACCTTCTGGAATTGTGTGCCAAGTGTCGAGGAAGACTATGTAGGGTACTGTGTTTCATCAAGTGGGTGTAGAGGTTATTAATGGAAGTTGATACTCCACAAATCTGGAAAAAAAAAAAAAAAAAAAAAAAAAAGTGATCAGAATAATTCTCCTTAGACCCCATCGATTTTCTCAATTTTTAAGCAGTGTAATCCAAACATCATCATTTGTTAACTATAGTAAACCCTCAATATAATGTACTTACAGGCAAAAACCACTGGGTATACTGTATTTTTAGCTCCTTTATTTTTAATGTTTACTACAGAACTACAATGGGTATACAGTAGAGTGCTTTAGTGCATTTTATTGCTATTTTACAACATTCTGATTTAAGGGACCCTTGGACAATCCCCCCGTTAGTCCATTATATCGAAGGTTTACTGTACTGTAGTTATGTTACAATCTTTGCACAAGGGACTGGAGCATTTGTCTCAAAGTCCTCTCTCTCTCTCTCTCTTTCCCTCCTCATAAAAACTACTGATTTTAGCACAGTGGAACCTTGGTTTTCGTGATAAATCCATTTGAAAAAGTCCGACGAAAGCAAAATTGTACAAAAACTGAAGCAATATTTCCCATAAGAAATAATGTAAATCCAATTAATTCATTCCAGACACCCAAAAATATTAACAAAAAATACATTTTATAGAGAATAACTATAGTTTTACATACAGAAAACAATGAGAAATAAATATAAATGAACATTTAACATCAATTTTACCTTTATTGAAGACTCCTGTTGGCGTATGGAAGATGGCAAGGAGGGGAGAGGGAGGAGAGGTTATTGTTTGGAAGGGAAATCCCCATCCATAAGGAATTCAGGTACTAAGGTCCTATCTGAGATTATTTCCCTTCTTTGTCTTTTACTGCCACTAGGACAAGCTTGGGTCACTGAACCCCTCTCACACAAAATATCTGTCCAGAGAGGTCTGTTTCTGGCATCTCTAAGATTTGCCTAAAATGGGACAAGGTATTGTCATTGAACATGTTGCAGACACAGCTTGCAACAGCTTTGTTAGGGTGATATTTCCCCACAAAACTTTGTAACTCATTCCACTTTGCACACATGTCCTTAATCACTGAAGAAGGCACATTCTCCCCTCTCTCTTCCTCCTCTTCTGCAGCAATTTCCTCAGTTGCAGTCTGTTGCTGCTCCAGTTGAAGGTCTTGCAGCTCTTCAGTGGTTAGCTCTTCCGTGTGGTCATCCACCAACTTTTCTATATCTTGGCCACTCACATCCAACCCCATGGACTTCCGCAAAGACAACAGATTCCACAACAGGCACAGGGTCATCAGGGTCAGCCTCAAATCCTTCAAAATCACGAACACATGGGATGCTTTGTGAGGGTGCTTGATTCTGGGAAATGAGTGGCCGAGTCATGTGGGTAGGCAGACAAGTTTGGTACGGACCATTTTCAACTGTTTGAAAACTGAGCTGATGTACGAAAACTGGGACAAAATTTTGATGAAAAAAGTCGCTGAAAACCGAATCGTACGAAAACTAGGGCATATGAAAACCGAGGTTCCACTGTAGTGTAATCTGTCACATTTCTCACCAAGACCATATCATAAGCCTTTTCTAAATCTATAAATGTTATATATGTATATATGCATTTTTTTCAACAAGTCGGCCATCTCCCACCAAGGCAGTGTGACCCAAAAAGAAAGAAAATCCCCAAAAAGAAAATACTTTCATTATCATTCAACATTTTCACCTCACTCATACATAATCACTGTTTTTGCAGTGCATTTTCAGTACTCAAGTCCAGCTATATAAAAATAACCGGTTTCCCTGAACCCCTTCACTAAATATTATCCTGCTCACACTCCAACAGCTCGTCAGAGTCGTTTCCCAAACATTCACTTTTCTACATTTCTTATTTCATTCTACTACTCTATTGTACATACATGCTTGCTAAGGACAGTTCTTTTTCATTCAACAGATTTTTTTTTATTGATGACTAGGCATGTAGTTTAGTAAAGTGTGCCTCGTAATTAGTGAACAGAGGATCAAACATACCATTTCTTGTACTGGATGACCCAAATGGGTTTAATACTTTACATAAATATTTATGAAGGGATTCGGGGGAACTGATTAGCTGGACTTGAGTGCTGGGGGTCGGAAGTACAGTGCCTGCACTCTGAAGTAAGGTGGGAATGTTGCTGTTTGGAAGGTTGTTAGAACTGTGATAGAGCCTTTTTGGCAAGACAATGATTGAATGAGTGACAGTGAAAGTGTTTTCTTCTTTGTTGGGTCACCCTAACTCACTGGGATACAAATGAAGTGTTAAAAAGATAATGATTATAATACTTTGTTTCTTGGAGAAAATAATTAGGAACTGCTTCAGTTTTTATTTACTTTAATGACTGCCTCCTGCCAAGGCAGGGTAACCCAAACAATGTAACCCAAACTAGCATGCAGAAGTTAATGAAAAATGTTTCAAGTAACCTTTTGAATCTTTAGAACATCTGAAGGTTTTTTTATTTTTTTTAACACATCGCCCATTTCCCACCGAGGCAGGGTGACCCAAAAAAGAAAAATACTTTCACCATCCAACACTTTCACCCTCATTCACAAATAATCACTGTCTTTGCAGTTTAGATGTCACCCCAAACAGCCAATATTCCAAACCCTTCCTTTAAAGTGCAGGCACTGTACTTCCCACCTCCAGGACTTAAGTCTGGCTAACCAGTTTCCCTGAATCCCTTCACAAAATATTACCCTGTTCACACTCCAATAGCTCATCAGGCCTAAAAACCATTTATCTCCATTCACTCCTATCTACCATGCTCACACATGCCTGCTGCACGTCCAAGCCACTTGCACACAAGCTTTTTTTACCTGCTCCCAAATATTCTAACAAACACCTTTATAAAATAAAGAATCCTCCTGAGACAAAACTACCAAAAAAATAGATTAACAAATCAAAAATATTGCACTAACAATTATGCATAACTATTACTGATACCAAAAACATTTTTTGAGATGTATAACTGCTCCAATCAATGTTTTCTCAGATATATAGCAAAATTTTTTTAACTATGCATTAACTGGCTTAATTTATTGACACTAACACAGCATGGAACAGAGGTGATACCCATTTGGTGCATTTTGGTGCAGTAGACAATATGCTGATAAAATTTGTGTTCTCGATTTACTAAGACACCACACATCTGAAAACAAAGGAGAGTTGATTAATATTGGAATGAGGAAATTAAATTATCCAAATTCTAAATTATGCTAATATACTGAAGTAAGTGATTATCATTATTTACAAGATAAATTAGCCTTTTCACCATCTCTTAAATAAGAAAAATGACTGTAAATCTTTGCAAGATGACTAGGATATTGAGGAAATGGAGTAATGGATGGATGATGAAATTTAATGTTTATAAAAATCCTGTAATACAAATGGGAGACAGTGAAATCAGACCACATCAATATTTATAGAATGAGTGACAAAATTCTGCATTATACAGAGAAAGGGATCTAGGAGTTATTATTAATAAAAATTTGTCCCAGATCATATAACTAAAATTGTGAGCAATGCATGTGTTACAGTGGCTAACTATAAAATATTTATTTAAATACTATACAGGAATGGTGAAATGTGAATAAAACTGTTTCCACTGGAATATGCAGCTGCTGTGTGATGTTCATGCCTTAAAAAAAAATATGGATCAGTGAGAAAAGGTGCAAAGAAGAGCTACAAAATAGATACCAAAGTAAGTAAATACAAGTAGCAATGAGTGAAAACACTAAAAATGCCCAAGCTGGCTGACATAAGGAAATGAGGAGAGATGATAACATGTAAGGCTATGAAAAAACATGAAAGAACAGACAAGGAATTTTTAGCACCTTCATCAGGGATAACATGATGATACTCATTAAAAAAAATGAAGCAGAAGGGACACTGGGAAATTTCTTTTAGAATGGTGGAAGAATGGAATAAATTGAAAGAAAAAGTAGTCATGAACACTGAAAATTGCTAAAAAAAAACCATGATGAATATATTAATAAAGGCAGCACCATAAGTTCTACGTAGTTGATTCGTGGAGAGCAACCACCCAGCAAGGTACTACTGTCCTGCTATGAGAGTAAAACGAAAGCCTATAATTGTTTAAATGATGGTAGGATTGCTGGTGTCTTTTTTTCTGTCTCATAAACATGCAAGATTTCAGGTATGTTTTGCTAGTTCTACTTACACTTAGGTCACACTACACATGCATGTACACAGAGTTCTTCCTCCGTAAACCATGTGTGTCGTAAGAGTCGACTAACATGTCAGGAGCAAAGGGCTAGTAACCCCTTCTCCTGTATACATTACTAAAGTCAAAGAGAAACTTTTGTTTTTCTTTTTGGGCCATCCCGCCTCAGTGGCATATGGCCTGTGTGTTGAAAGAAGAAAGAGCACCATAAGCAAAGTTCTGCTTTGGTGGCTACACATGGGCAATTATAAATAAGTAATTATACACATCATACTGAAGAATACAGTTTATTGCATGCTTAAACCATGTCATAGACTCAAAAGAACATATAATAAAGAAAAAGGATCTTGGAGAAATTATGAGCAAGTTAACCTGAGAAAACTCATACAGTAGAACTCCCATATCCAGGGATTCGGTTTCTGCAGTTTCAGTTACCCACAGTTTATTGTGGCCCATAAATCCTCTTCAAGGGGGGCTCCTTGGCGTGGTGAAGAGGCTCTTGGTCTGAGGAATTAGACCTGTCGGTCTTCTTCCTCAGACCGAACCTAATTACCCCCCAATCTCCCCTCCCCTATCCCATCCTCCCCTTTTTCCTTTCCTCCTCCTCCTCCCCACCCCTCCCTTTTGCCCTTCCTCTTTTCGGCCTTTGGGATTTCTCCCACAGGGGCGCTAGTTCCTAGGTAGGGGAAAGGATACCGGGGTCCATCCCATTCCGTTGAGGTTCTTGGCGGTGGCGTAGTTTGCCGTGGAATCTGGATCGCCTGGGGATGTCCCGATCCCTCTCCGGTATCCCGGAGTAGCTTTGGGTGTCTTTCGGGCGACGGGTGTATCTTGGAAGCCACCTTTCGGATTCGGGGGTGGTGGCTGAAGGAGGTATGCTTTGTGGCGGATATCCGGCCGCCCTCTCTTTTGTCCACCGAGGTAGCTCGGCAGATGTGAGGTGCTATCCGGACTGTTAGTTTACTAGCATGATGGGTAGGGTTATGGCACGGGTTCCATGCTGCATCTGCACTACTTGCCGTTGTGCTGAGGTCCTCTTGGGCTCGAGGGAGATTTCTGGCCCTTTCATTCCTCCTAGGAAACTATCCCTCCCTGGTCCCCCCTTTTTTTTATTCTTTTTTTATTTTTATTTTCTTTTCTTTTCTTTTTTTTTTCTTTAAAAACAAAAAGAAAGAAGTAACCTAACCATGGCAGCCCTAGTCCATGAACCTCCTACCCCGGGCCCCTTCTTGATACCGCACCCCGTTCTGACCCTGCCTCATCTTTGGACCACTCTTCAGACAACTCCTCATGCCTCTGTACCTCTTGCCGGTGCTGTTTCCTCACCCGCTTCAGGTACTGAGGCCTCGACTGACTCCTTCGATTTATCGGACCTTCGCTCTCCTCTGACTATGCTTCCGGCTCTTCCTCTACGGTGCGGCAATTTTCAAATCGCCGACCCGTTCCACGTCGGACCAACTTCTGGTCCCACGCCTAAACGCCAACGACAATTACCTGCTGATGATACTTCTCCACCTTCTCGTTCTCTCTCAGAAACGATCGACACATCCTTCACTACCTTTCCACGCTCAGTTTCAGACTGAACAATGGACTAAATTCTTCACTTTACGACAGACTTCCTCTACTGCCTATTTTTCTAACCACAGTATTGGCAAGGCACTCCTACGCCATGTTGGTAAAGATATTTCTTTTCATGCTCTTAAGAGCGGTACGCGCATGATTCACTGTACAGAATGCTACCCAGGCTCATGAGCTCTCTCGTCTTTCCCATATCGATACTGTTCCTGTCACTCTTGAAAAACATCACTCCCTCAATTCTTGTGTGGTACCGTCATTCTGCCCATACCATAGTTCAACAAAATTTCCAGACATGTGGCACTGACATTCTTGAACAGCTGGAACTCCAAGATCTCCCAATCCTCAAGGTAGACACTTACGTTCTTCCTGCCCGCGGGCGGAGACGATACCCTAGCAGTGTGGCTCGTTTAACTTTTGACAGCCGAGAACTCCCATCCTCAGTTTATATAGCAGGACATCGGTTACAAGTCCGAAAGGTGATCCTACACCGCAACAGTGTAGAAATTGCTGGCGATTTGGCCATCCAGCGAAATATTGCAGATCTATCGCCGAATGCCCAGTCTGTGGTGCCGATGACCATTCTCATATGTCTTGCAATCTATCTCCCTCTTGCCTTAACTGTCATGAGGCTCACCCTTCGTACTCTCGCCGTTGTCAAGTCTATTTAAACGAGCGGGAAATCCGTTACCTCAAAGAGACAGAGGGTCTCCCTTATGCCATGGCAGTTTCTCATCTCCGCCTCCAAGGGAGACTCCCACGTGTTTCTTATTCCCGTGTTTCAAAACGTCCCCACTTCTGGTATCCCATCTTCTACACCACCTCTGTGGTTACCTCTCCCATAGTCACTCCTGTATCTAATCCTTTTGCTGTCCTCGGCTCAGACGTCCCTACTTCAACGCCTCAGTCTGATCTCGCTTCTTCGTGTTCTCTCTCACAAGCCTCAGTAACGACGAGATCTCGTATGACACCTCCTCCCAATCGTCCCTCTACTTCTCAAAAGTCAAAAAAAGGTCCGTTAACACCTCCTACCATCTTCCACCTCCTCATTTACCCTCCTGTCTCTGTCCCTGGTTCTCCCCCTCTCACTGGCTCTGTTACAAGTGTAGAGGTTCCACCCTCCTCCTCGTACTGTACCTTCCTCCCCTGTTCCCTCCCAGGTTTCTTCCTCTTCTGCCACCTCCCAGGTTTCTGCCTCTTCTGTCCCCTTCCACGCTTCTCCAGTTCCCTCCACCCTTTTGCCCCCCCCCTACCTTGGTACAGTCCAATACAGTTCCAATCTTTACTCATCTCCCCTTACATTTCCAATATTGTCTCCCATACGACGTCTCTGAATTCCAAAACACTTGAAGCAATCTCTGAATATATTGCAGAGACCAAACCATCAATGGACACTGATCCACCCTCTGTTCCTTCTCTCTCCTCTCCTCCATCTGCGCAACTCCTTTCTTCACAGCGCACCGTTCCTTCGCTGCTTGAACGTTTTCCACTGCCTCCGCATGTGGACTTTTCTAACCCCTCTAGTCCGTAGGAACCCTTACCTGCAGATTTCAAGTATCTTTATCATTGCCAATCATGGCCTATTTACAGTGGAATATACGCGGCCTCAGGGGTAATCGGAGTGAGCTTCAGATGTTACTCTCCCAGTTTGCCCCTGTTGGTGTTTGCTTACAGGAACCAAAATTACACTCTGCTGTTATCTCTCCCATCTCAGGCTATAATTTATTGTATTCTTCAGATCCTTTTCCTGATGGGACCTTTAATGAAAGTGCCCTTCTTCTACGCACTGATATTCCGTACCATCAGCTATTTGTTCATACTTCGCTGCATTACACAGCAGCCCATATCCACTTGCATAGGTGGTATACGCTCTGTTCTTTATATCTCTCTCCTTCTCGGGCATTATCTATTCCGGATATTGCCTTTCTTGTTTCGTCATTACCGCCACTGATTCTGTTACTTGGTGATTTTAATGCCCACCATTTCCTCTGGGGGGGTCTCACTGTGATTCCTGTGGAATTCAGTTAGAGGCTTTTCTTGCCACCCACCCCCTCCATGTTTTAAATACTGGTACGCACACCCATTTTGATCCTCGGACTCATACTCTCTCTTGCATCGATCTCTCAGTCTGCTCTTCCTCCACTGCATTAGACTTCACTTGGTCTGTTCTCCCGGACTTACATGACAGCGATCATTTCCCAATCATTCTTACTTCCCCTTCATATTCACCACCTCTTCGCATCCCACGCTGGCAATTTGATCGGGCAAATTGGAACCTTCTCACACCTAACTGTTTTTAGAGAGGTTCCTTCTTCGTCCTCCATCGATGAGCTTTTACACCACTTCTCGTCCTCCGTTTTAACCGCAGCTTCTCATTCTATACCCCAAAC